GAGGCCCTGCTACTGAGCACTTGAATGGGTTTATGAGCAGAGGGCAGTGTGATACTCAGTGGAGAGGGACGAGGTAGAGTGCCTACCAGAGCTGGGCAGATAGATAAGACAGCTCCAGGTCAGGGCCCGCAGGTATGAGGCTCCATTCTCACTAGCCTGAAAGGGGCTGAGCTAGCTGCCAGATCAGTGCTAAGCAAAGACACAGCACTGAGGGTCTAGAAGCTGCTTAGCAGTTTTGGGTTTGGCTTATGTGGTCAGAGAACACTGCAGACATACAAAAAAGTCAGGTCCAGACAGAGAAAATCTCTAAATAGATATAGTATGCTTAAAAATGTGCTTAGATGAAGAAAGAAAAATAAATGGGTATCGACAGCCATAGAAAAATAAATAGTTTAAAATAATAAAGTCTTTAAAGAGAGAGTAATCTAAAAGAAAAAAAGCCTCATAAAGACAGGAAATACACAGAGTGTCTGGATCCTGTATGGTGCTTTGCCATGTGGTTGTGGCCTGCCGGTAAGGTTCTGTCCAGCATATCTCCTGCAGCGGCTACATGGCGTCTCCCTGACTTCGCCCACTCTCTCTCTACATCTGTTTGGATTTCCTGCCTGGCTTTAGTCTGTTAAGCCATTGGCTGAAAGCAGCTTCTTTATTAACCAATAACAATAAAACATATTCACAGCATACATTGGGAAATCCCACATCATTCTACTCTTAAAGTATTATACCTATGCAGTTCATTTTAAAATATAATTTATAATTAAGAAATACAGGCTGGTGGTTATTCATTTATTATAATCAACTTGTAGTCATGTTAGGTATATTTTCAAGGTCAAACATGTATTAATCAACTTGTAGTCATGTTAGGTATATTTTCAAGGTCAATCAGATATTTTAGATAGGCAGATGGTTTTCAAACACTTCAGAGACCTACAGAGCATAGCATTTAAGATGTTTTAATAACATAAGACTTTTCATGACACATCTGCTCCTGGCAGCACCAATTTACTTTAAAAAAAAAAAAAAGGATGATGGGCATCAAAGAACCTCCATATGGAGTTTGCTTTTACTGTGGCAAAGGTAGCCACTGGGCAAGAAACAGCCCTTAACTCAATTGCTGATAGTATGCTGTATAAACCAGACAAGCGGGACACACACACAAAAAAAATGACTGCTAACTTTGCCAGGGCAAAGTAGGACCATCCTTCAAAATTCCTGCTTCACAGAAAATTTTGTCAGATAATCTAGGCCTGTAGGTCAAAGATGGACGTCCAACACTGCAGAGAAATCCTGGGTGACTGTCCAGGCATCCAGCTATCTCTGTCCTTTCTATAGTTTCGGAAGCTGTTTTCTCTGCACTTCCTGTTTACTCAGGAAATATACCATTCTTGGGTCTTTGATGGGATTGACGACTAGATGGTTATAGTTACAGTTTTCCTTGTTACAAATTCAGAGAAGAAACTTACATAAGAGATGTAAGGTGCATAAGGTTGGGAGACATAAAAGCTTAAGTTGTTTATCCAAGAAAATGTTTTTAAGCCTAAAAAGATAATTTAAGGACGGTCATACAAGTTATGACAGAAAGGTATAAAACTTGGACCCACTAAGATAAGGGAGATAATATGGTAATTTCTCCAAATTTGCTAAGTACAAATGAACTAGACATTGTGAATGCAATTCTTCCTTGATAATGGTTCTTACTATATATAATTTTACTGTACTAGAGCTAAAACCTTTCCTTTTATTTAGACAAAAAGGAGAAACTCTTGTGGGAAGTTTGTACACTGTTCCAAAATGTATTGCTGTGACTGGTATGATGAAAAGCTGAATGACCAATAGTTAAGCAGGAGGTATAGGTGGGACTTCTGTGCAGAGAGAGAGAGAGAGAGAGAGAGAGAGAGAGAGAGAGAGAGAGAGAGAGAGAGAAGAAGCTGGGAGGAGTAATCTAGGCACACAATTTCCTCAGCAGACATGTAGGCTAGTCACATGTGCTGCACTAAGAGGTAACTGAGCTACATTGTAGAACACAGATTTGAAAAAAATATAGGTTAATTGCTAGGTGGTGGTGGCACATGCCTCTAATCGCAGCACTTGGAAGGTAGAGGCAGGAGGATTTCTGTGAGTTTGAGGCCAGCCTGGTCTACAGAGCTAGTTCCAGGACAGCTATTACACAGAGAAACCCTGCCTTGGGGGGGGGGAGAGTTAATTAACTTATAAGAGCTAATTGGGGAAAAGCCTAAGCTAAAGTCAAGCTTTCATAATTAATAGTAAGTCTCCAGGTCATTATTTATGGGCTGGCAGTCCAAAGTTAGTCCAACAAGAAAGCTTGCTACACACACGCACGCACGCACGCACGCACGCACGCACGCACGCGCGCACTTAGAAGGGGACTATAGTAGTTTACCCATTACATTTCAGGTTTTCATACCCTACCACTAGAAGCCTGAGCTTTGGTATGCTGAGTCTCTCTACCAGCTATCACTAACCTTTGTGGTAGTAATTTGTGCTATAATCACTTTTCTAATGTATTTAAAAACTGATTTGAGGTTTGTAATTTTTTACTTTTATTTAAATGTAGGGACTTGAACTTCCTTATATCACACTTTGGAATTCTGTTTTTGAGATATATTTTAGCCGCATATGGTATTTTAGGTATGATTTTCTTTCAGTGAAGATGATGCTCCAGTGTTTTCTGATTCAGATGGTTTTTGAGAAGCCTATTTTCTCTTTCATAAAAATATTTATACCACTGGTTTCAAGTATGTCTCGGCAAAATTTCTTGTGCCTGGAATTCACTGAGATTCTTTGGTTTATGGGTTTAGTTTTCATATTTGTCTCTTTTCATCTAGAATTTCAAACATTATTTGTTAACCTTCCTTTATCCTTTAGGGACTCAAATAACAAGACTACTAAGACACTTCACTGACCTTGAACACCTTTTCAAAACTCTTCCCTCATGCTTCTAAGCGTACTGGTCTTCTTTCTGTGACATTAAATCTGCGAGCTCATTCAGTGCACCTGATCTGACATGATGTTTGTTTACGGAAGGCTGATTCAACCTTTCTCTTAAGAAGCAACTGCTCCCTTCTTTTCTACTACAACACACTCAAGGGATACACTATTAATGCACTGTATGACTAGCTGTGTTTTCAAGGTTGCATGATTCTTCTGGGAATAGGACACATGAAGCTCCAAATTAACCTTTAGTGAGCAGACTACTTTGAGAACTGCATTTCTGACATTTCTTCTTTATGTATAATATTCGTCACTTGATTTTGCATACCCTTATTAAAAGTACTTTATTCTTTCAGCTGAGATGAAATCCTTATCATCTTTTTAAATGCCGCCAAATTTGTTATCAATATAAGCTACTATCTGTCGTTTATCTACATGGTGGCTACTTACAGACCTAGAACAAACTGAGCTTACTGGTGTCATTATTCCAATGAGATATTTAATTATTTAGCAAAAGTGGTATTTATTATGGTTTCAAATACACATGTTTGAGTGGGATTGACAAAGCTGCCAATTTTTAGTAATCTGGCCTAAGTAATCTCTGTTGTAAAGACCTAACTCCTGCTAAGCAAAAATGCATTTTGTTGGAAAGATGGTAGTAATTCACAGACAAGACGGAAAACCATAACTAGACTCAGAACGACACAAGGACATTCCAGTTTGCATCTGTCATTATAATACACCTAAGTCTTTTCTTAGGTCATTAAATAAATCTAATTTTGTTTCATCGTGCTACAAAGTTTAAGTTGTCACCTACACCACTAAAGCCTACCAAGCTACAGATGAGCTACTTTTCTGAAAATACTCCCTAGAAAAACAGAAACAGACACATGGGGCTGGAGAGCGCCTGCAGAAGACACAGTTGGTGGCTCACAACCACTGCTGCCACTGCACATACACCCAGGCACACCAGGTACACATACCTGTGCATTAAAAAAAAATGAATCATTTTCTACAAATGAATATGGGACATGCTGATTCAAGTGTGTCCTGACTTTTCATGTTCTCAGAAACACAGAAACCACTGGCCACTTGAAATTAACGTTCAGTGTTGGTGAGCAAACAAGTGGGGTCCTGTTCTAATTTCTTTTTAATTACTGGCCTACGCAAAGTTTTTACCTTCAGAGGACTAGACTTTAAAGGGATGACCTTTTCTACTGCTATCAGAGAAATAACTAGATTGTTTTCTAACTTTCCTCTTAAATATTCTTCAAATAACAAACAAGACTGCACGCCATTATTTTTTTCCTAGTGCGCTCTCTCTCTCTCTCTCTCTCTCTCTCTCTCTCTCTCTCTCTCTGTGTGTGTGTGTGTTTAAGGTGCATATGTATGGTATAAACTCACTTAGTGTTGGTAAGCTATGTATATACTAAAATTGCGTTTGGAAGGCGCAATGTATACAACTATTGGATAACTGGACATTGGCCAGGTAAGTCTGAAAAGAACTGGGAACGATCTTGTAAAAACTTTCCATTAGTTAACGTATGGCTTTTTGGATTTAACAACAAAAAACCCTCGGCCTTCGACGTCTAAACCACGTGGTTCGACCTAAACTCGCAAGGGTCAAGAAAACGGAAAGAAGGTGAAGGGCAGCCATCCTTCCCGCGGCTCGGGACGACGATTGGGACAGAGCAGCTTCGTCTAGGGGTCGGGAAGCTGCCTCGGGCCTGCGCTCTGCACTCACTGCCTCCTTCTCGAACATGCTAGGCCTCCTTTCCTTCTTAGGCGCCACCGGGGAGTGATGCGGCGCTTGGCTGGCGGTCGGCTTCGTCATTCGGGCTCGCCGGTCCATCTTGATCGGTTTTCGCCCAGGCGCCGCGCCTCCCGCCTCTGCAGTCGCCCAACGCCCCGGCCGCGACGCCAGAGACCGAATCTCGCGCCAGCGCCGCGCCCGCAGTCGCGTCCCGGAAGTCGCAGCGGAAAGACGTGCGTCATCAGAGAGCGCCACGTCCAAGCCGGAAGCGATGGAGGTAGGGTGACTGCCGCCTACAGGGGGTTCTCGCGCGGCCCTGTCCAGACCCTGTCACTGTCCTGGGATCCCTGCGGGGTGGGGTTGGACATTGCTAGTCGGTGTCGCCCTAGTGGCAGGCCCGAAGCGGGATGATAAGCTGCAGGGAAAGCCAATGTACACAACACCGTGTTTGATGAGCGGGAGGAAGCGTGGTGGAAACAGAAAAGTCGGGATCCGTCATTCCACGCACCTCCTCGGTGCTTCTCGGCCTGAAATTGTGTTCCATACCAAGGACGGAAATGTTCTGTTCCCCCACTCTCTGTGAAGAACCGCTGATTTTGATCACTGCGGCATAAAGGAGTGTCGGAATGGCAAAGCATTGTTCAAAAAAATCGCCGAACCTCTGAACTCCGGCATCAGCAAGGTTGATTAAAGAAAAGATTTAAGGCTTTCAACATGCACTTTAAAGCAGACCCATAAAATACGCATCGTGTCTAAGCACGGTTAGACACATGCAGCTATTACGGTATCCAGACAGCATATTAACAGCTTCCCTACCTTAGTTCTGTCTGTACGTAGGATAGGATTTTCTTTTGACTTGGATGTAACAGTGAGTGTTTTATATATGTTTTATATTTCAGATTTTAACAGGAGATCCCATTACCACATGCCTTTCGCCTTTAGTGCATGACTTGATTTGTAACCTTGGCTTTGAACTCAGAGAAAAATGTGATATTGATAGCATTGTCACTCAAAATGGTGAAGTACTCTGGAAAGCAATTACAGACCGCGTGCGCTATGCAGAATCAGGTTTGTATTGTCAGTTAGTACCGGTCCACTTAAAATGTTTTGACCTGTAAAACCCTCCTTGGTTCTTTTTCTTGGAGGGTGTAATAATGTAGTTGTCAGAGGAGAAAAAGAAAACTGGAAAATATAGAAAAGTCAAGACATGCTTAGCTGAGAAAATTGTGTGTGAGCAGGAGGCAGCCAGGGATGCTGGAATCCATCTCAGAGCCTGGATTTGCTAGTCACTAGGTGAATATACAGCATGGATACCTGGATAAAGGACAAGACAGAATGGGGTGGCGCCTCCCTCGTGTTTCTCAGAACAGCACCTAGTTGCCATTATGGATTATTTCTGGCATTTGGTATTTTTTAGTTGATTATGAGTGGCTAAAAGTATAGCTACACGTTCCTCACTGGTAGTAAAGCCTTCTGTAATTCATTTCTACTGAGCTGCAAGGACATTTACCATATCTCCAGTTATAAGCTGCTTGATTTTGGAACATTTTGTAATTAAAGCTTTTCTTTGATTTAACTTTTTTTTTTCATCCTGTGGCGTACAGCTGTGGAACTAAAACATATTTCTCCTCCTATAGGGCGGAGCCTGGATTACAGGGAAAGTGTGCGACTGCTGGGTCCTGTCTGTGAGGCCATCCATCTACATACCTTGTCTCTGACCAGGGCACAGTTTGAAATGAAGTATTCACCATGGTTCCAGTGGACAGCCTATCCAGAGGTTTGACATTTGCACAGCTCTAGAAATAAAAGACTTTGGAACTTGGAAATCCTCATTACTTGCCAAGTTAAGGGTGTCTTTTTCCATTTTGGCCTTCCAACGTTGAAGAGGTCCTAGGAGCTGCAAGAGAAATCTAAGTAGTTTATTTATAGAATCTGAAGCCTGAGTTGAGGAACACACTTTGAACAACTTTTGGGCTCAACTAGGGAGGCATTTGTCTTAGACGTATATTGCTGTGAAGAGACACCACGACCACGACAACTCCTATACAGGAAAGCATTTAACTGGGGCTGGCTTACGGTCTCCTAGGTTAGTTCATTGTCATCATGGTGGGAAGCAGGGCAGCATGGAGGCAGACATGGTGCTGGAGCGGGAGCTATGAGTGCTACATCTTCATCCACAGGCAACAGAAAGTGACCTGGATTGAGCTTCCTCCAACAAGGCCACACCTACTCCAACAATAGTGCCGCTCCCTGTGGGCCAGGAATCCAAACACATGAATCTCTGGGGGCCATTCCCATTCACACCACCATAGCAGTGTGGTGTGAAAATAAAGTCCACTTTAGCATCAGGACAGAACTCCCAGGGAGACAATCACAAGGTTAGCTCAGAGAGTAGGTGCTTGGTTTCTTCATAGTGAATTGTAAAATATATAGTCATTGGGGTCCTAATGCAAGCATTGTGTGGTTTGCTTTTTTCTTTTCCTATGTTTCATTTGACACAGGAGCATAATAAAGCAGTACCTGTAATATCTGATTCTAAAACAGTCTGTTCAGGTGAGCTGCCTTAGCGGAGCTAAACTAAATTGTTACAGGAAATAAGGAGTAGGTCAAAATATTTGGTTTCACTATTATGCCAGACTTATGCTTTGAATAAACATTTAAAGAAAGAACTTTCAAAGAACTCTTTATGTATTAAATAATTTTATTATAATATTTCAGTAGAAACTATTTGCTTATACCAAACATTTAAATGTAGCAGTTGAAATATTGAGGCTTGAATTCAGTAATAGTAGTAACTCAAAAATAATTTTTGTTTTGAGAATGATTTTCCTTCAGTCTGAGCTCTAATGTGTGTTTTACTCTGAATAGCTGTTTCTTGAAATATTTGATGCCTTGGAAGGCCTGCACTCTGCTGCTATCTCTCTCGGTGTGATGAAACTGACCTCCTGTCTGGAGCGAGCCTTAGGTGATGTGAGTGTGGGGGTCCTCGTTATTTGCTAGATTGCCTGGATGAACACAAAACCTTCAGATTTCTTGATTTTTATTATTTTTTCCTGTAAAATACAATGATTTTCTTTTCATATAATTAATAAATCCTAGTACCTGTGAGCTGGGAGAAGTTTCAATAGATCCAAGTACTTTGTGTAAGCACGCGTTCCTGGATTTAGATTACAGCACATGTTTAAAAAATAAAAAGCTGTGTGTGGTTGATTCTACACTGGGGGTGGGGAGAGCGTGGACAGAGGATCACTGGGGCTTTCTGGCCTCTGTTCTAGCTCTAGTTTCAGTAAAAGACCCTCTGTCCAGAGAATAAGATGGAGAGTGACACCCGATGTTCTCCTCTGGCCTCTGGTGTGTGCAGCCAGCACGCACGCACACATACACACACACACACACACACACACACACACGCACGCACGCACACATGGAAGGAAATATGTCTAGCACTTTTCTTTGCTCATTTGTGGTATACATCATAAACGATGCTCTGTTTTAAAATACTGCCTCATTGTAATGCAGTTATTATATGATTTCTGTTTGAACTTTAGGTGTTTTTACTGATTGGAAAGGAGTGCCCCTTCCTTCTGAGAGATCTCCTTGCATCTGCAGAGCTTGCACAAGTCTTTGGGCACGCTGCGGTAAGTGTGTGCACAGCACATAAAGCAGAGAGGAGCTGGCACGAGCTGTGCTTTTGATCCTCTAAAACGACAGTCCTCTGGGAGAGCTAACCGTCTCATGGATTTAAGTTCTTCTTCCTTCCCCTGGGAACTGTCCTGCCTGCACTATTCCAGGATCTCTCTCCCCAGATGCCATGGTGTTGGGATAACCACATAGGTTCAGCTGGAGGGACAGTTAGAGCATATCACTGTATTCAGTGAAGTATTCACAGTGCTTGTACTAAGTCACTGCAGCCTGTGGTTAGCACTTTGGAATGATAGTATGGCATTTTTGTCCTAAAATACCTGTGTTTTAGCAGGTAAGAATTTATACATTTTGCAGTTATCCAGACTTAGAGTGGCAAAAAAGAAAAATAGAACTTGGTAAGAAATTACAGACACTGTTACACTTCTCAGAATGTTCTAGAGGGACTGTAATCAAGAGACTTCAGACTCTTGGCAGACATATGAGCAGCTCAGTGAGGGAGAAGACTAGAAAGAACGGCCATCTTAGTTGGACCAGAATTCCACCAGACTCACTATCTGGGGCTGAGACACCCAGACACAGTCTCCAGTGAACACTCCCAATACTCACTGGATCATCTCCCTTGCCAGCCTGAAAACGGTTTTCTGGTTGAGAGCCTGAAATGGGGCTCCCACAAGTTGTCCTCTGACCTTTACATCCTGGCACATTCCAATGAAACTGCATAAAATTTTGGTATTAGTTTCATTGTTACTATGTTATACTGGCAGAAGCTGTTGGCTCTCTTAGTTCTAAAGGAGCCGCAAACACTGTAGGGTGAGTTTATTTACTCTGCTCGTCAGTAATCTGCTCTCTTAATGGGTTAGATGGATGTACTGAAAGTCTTCATCGGGTCTCCCTGTGGACTCAACCTGAGGAACATCCTCTGGCACGGCTTTGCTGCCCCTCAAGACATCCCTCCAAAGTAAGTTGTTGGCTGAGTGACCTTCCTCCTCAGTCTGCTTCAGAATGTGCGTTATCTCGGATCTCCTAAGAGAAGAGGGTTAACTGTGAAAGGTGGGAGAATGTCGGTGCCTCGCACCCCAGAAGAACACACCCAGAAGTCTGGATAGGCAGGAGCCCAGCGTCTGTCCTGAGCTCTCAGTGGATAGGCAGGAGCCCAGCGTCTGTCCTGAGCTCTCAGTGGATAGGCAGGAGCCCAGTGTCCTGAGATCTCAGTGGCCTTTCTTGCTATTACTCAGCTTAGCTCCATCTGTGGAGAGTTCTGGAGTTTGATGGTTTCTTTCTTAATTCTTTTATGTTTTATTTTCATTGGTTCATGCACATATACAGCATTTGTGTGGAAGTCAAAGGACAACTGTGGGGAGTGGGTCTTCCCTTCCAGATGTGGTCCAGCCCTCAGCCTGAGGTCTGCAGCTGGGCTGTTGCCTCCTTCACCTGCTGACCCATCTCAGTCCTCCTTCCTGCATAATTTTAGCATTTTTTCCTAAGAAAAGTGCTTTGTGTGTAGACTAAGTTCATTTTCTGGTTTCTGCTCGTCCCTAGGTACTGTTCAGCTATGCTGTTGTTGACAGCAGGACTGGGCCAGTTGCTGAAGAGCTACCTTCACCAAACGAAAGTCACATTGGCACATCGACCTTTTGTCCCTCTTACAAACCTAGAGGACGTGATTGTTTTTCCTGGCAAGTTCTGTGTTTCACACTGCCCCCTTACGTCTTCATGGAGACTTAGATTCCTGGTGAAGTACTTACTACCATTGCCAAGTTGGCTTTGTGAGAGTGACTTGAAGACCTTTTAAGCTTCCCCACTTCTAGCTGTCCTGGGTGCTGTTGGGGACCCTGAGAGTCACAGATAGAGTTGACCTCTTCCTCAGATGTGCTGTCGTTCAGAACAACTTGGGGCCATTCGTGTTGTTTTTCAATCCTCTCACCCTGTCTGCATCTGTGCTCATGGCCATTTCATCAGCTGGGCCAGCCTAAAAAGGGCTGCCTGTATCCCCTGAGAACGCATCCTCCCCCTCCTCGTCAGTGTGATGAACGAGGGTACCCTGAGGGCACTCTCTGGTGCTGCCCAAGTCCCTACAGTTCATTTGCCCATTTCCTCTTGGCAGGCTTCCTGAGGCCACCCCACTGTGGCCGTAGGTCAGGCTTTCTTTAGGAGTGCTCTGCCCCAGGTCAGTCCATCCGTCCACATGTATTCCTGACTTCTTTTGGTTGGCCGCTGTGACTGTATTTATAAAGATGCTTGCTCTTCCACAGGTGTTACCTATGAGGTGCTCTCAGCAGTAGAGAATACCACGATGAACTCCGCCTTCGTATTAAAAGCCATGTTACCATATTGGGAACTGGCAGTGGCCAAGTTCAAGGCGCACAGGTAACAAGGTGGTGTGGTGGTGTTGGTGCTTAGATGACAGGTCTGCTCTGTGTCCTTCGCTGTCTGAAAGTCACCCACTGTCCTGACTGAGTAGAGGAGAGACTGACACAGATCAGGCTCAGTACAGAGTGTTTTTCTTTGGTAACTTAGACAGGCTGTAACTGTTTCAAGTGTTCTGTCATCCTCTTGGGTACAATTGATAGGACTTTTTTGGTTTTTCTGGACAGGGTTTCTCTGTAACAGTCCTGGCTGTCCTGGAACTCACTTTGTACACTAGGCTGGCCTCTAACTCATTGACATCCACCTGCCTCTGCTTCCCAAGTGCTGAGATTAAACGGTGCACCACCACTTGCTGGCCATATAACTTTATTTTTTAAGAATAAACTTCTTAGTTTATTTTCTGAGTCCTTGCTCTAAGAAAAACTTGAACCTAGCATTACAGATGTGCTTGCCCATTGGGTTCCCTCCAAGGCCAACCCTGGGTGACAGCCAGGAATAGCACGTTTTCAGGGAACCAGAGACCAGAGAACTAATCAGCTGGCCCTTGCTGGTCTGCAGTAACCTTGTTCTTGGATTCACTTTGCACTTCAGCTGCCCTCTGGAGCTTTGTTGTTCTGGCTGTCCTCAGAGGTGAAAGGCAGCATATACAGATCTTTGATGACATTTTGTTCTACTGAAACTACTAAAAACATTTCATTAAGGATTAAAACACCAAAAATGGCCGTCTAGGCTGCCGTGCAGTTGCTGCAGCCTTTGCTGATTTCCTCGGATTCCACAGGTTTGCCGACTGCACCATGCTGTTGCTGTCACAGCTGGAAGCTGGACTTAGGAGACTTTTTGCTGCAGTTAACAAATGCCCTGCTAGACTCCTCACGGCCGAGGTACACGTGTTTCTGCTGCTCACTGTGACTGTGGGGACTATATTGATAATCTTCTGTGGCTATTTGGAAGTTTTAAAGGCTAGAGATGTAGCTAAGTTGGCTAAGCACTTGCCTAATGTAGACAGAGGCTGCTTGTTCCCAGCTGCCCAGACCCAAAATAATCACACAGAAACTATATTAATTGAAACACTGTTTGGCCAATGACTCTAGCGTATTCCTAGCTAAATATTACATCTTAAATTAACTCATTCCTATTATTTTATGTATTGCCACGAGGCTCGTGGTTTACCAATAAGGTTCTGGGAGCATCTGTCTCCTTCAGTAGCTACATACTGTCTCCCTGACTAAGCCTACTCTCTTGCTACATCTCTGTTCAGATTTTCTGTCTGGTTTTACTCTATTAAGCCATTGGCCGAAAACAGCTTTTTTATTAACTAATGGGAATAAACATTCACAGCATACAGAGGGGAATCCCACATCCACCTAATATGTACAAAACCCTGGGTTCAATCCCTTACAGTACACACACACACACACACAATCACATCTTATTTGCTGTTAAAACACACAAGTATTTTAATTGTGATTATGGACTTCCCACAGGGCAGGGAACCCTGACTGCTCTTTGGACTGGAGAGGGAGGGGGAGGGGGAATGATGGGAGGAGGGGAGGAGGTAAAAATTTGTAGTAATAATAGTAATAAAAATAAAAAAATATAAAAAAAGATAGTGTCCTTTAAACTTCATGTTATGAAAGCAGCACCTTCTGAGAGGCAGAATTGTTTTTCTTTGAATGATATTACTGTTTTAATTATTTCTCTTTTATCTCTTCTCCTTTCTACAGTCAACAATTCTATATACCACATTTGATGAAGTAAGTAGTCAAATTTGCAAAAAACCATGGAAAATAATCATCCTCTTTTAAATACAAATTAAAACACAATGATTGGGGCTAGAGAGATGGTTCAGTCATTAGGAGCACTTGCTGTTGTTGCAGAGGACTTGGGTTGGATTCCAAGAACTTATATGGTGGCTCACAGCCATGCATAGGCTGTACATGGTGCACATGCATACATGCAGGCAAACACTTACGCACATAAAATAAGTAAATTTAAAATAATTTAATACTATGAATTAAAATCCACAAAGATTAAGTAGCATACTTACAGGAAAATGTTGATAAGCAAGAAGAAGAAGAAGCTTGTGCTAGATTTGAATACAGCTCCAGGACCATATTTCAGTGGACTGAGTGCTTGAATGGCGTTCATGAAGCGTGGGTTGATTCTGCAGCACTGAGTATACCCAGCACGGTGGCACACACCTGAATCTCATCCCTGGTGATGTAGAGGCAGGATTTGAAGGCAACTTGTAATACATGAAACTTGTTTCAAATAAATAAAGCTTTCAGGTTAAGTTTGAGGCCCGGTATTATTAATCTCGTTTCTGAGGTTGTACAAACACAAAGTGGGAAAATGCAAACAGATTGACACCGTTGGCTGTAACCACTGTTGACAACAGCTGCCCTTAGCCAGTGCAACAACGTTAGAAATCAAATATTCTGACTGACTTTGTACAGATCAGTGTCGTATATGTGCAGGTACATGAATCGGGGTTGTTGTATGCTTGTGCGTGTGTCAGTTTAACAGCTTATTGATTAATCTATTTTGGTGTTTTAGATTCTGGCAAAGCACTTGAATGATGGTAGCATCAGCCGGCTTCCTCATTTCCTGGGAGAGCCTGCCATGGTAAAGTACCGGGCATCTCCATTCCTAGGTCTTTCTGTTTATAAGCTGGTATCTCGAGCAGCGTGAATGTGTTTGCAGTGTGCTCGGCAGCCGGCCTGCTGCTGTGGTGTGACAGACACCCGTCAGGGGTGCCTGCATAGATGCACTGGGCTTGTTTATTCTGGTTACTGCCATGCCCTTTGAATGCCTGATGACCTGGTGTCTCTTAAGTGTTGGATGAAACAGAATTAATGTTTCGACCCCTTTTTCAATCAGCATTTAATATTTTATGAGGATGTTATAGTGACTGCTCTAGACTATAGTAGCTACTTTTTGTTTATTCTGTCACACTGAGAGACGATCTGGATTCTGCTTCCCATTCCTTATGTGATTCTGGCATCCCTTCCTGTCCTCAGACAGCAAGATGATAAATATATCTGTCTTGAGTCCCCGGGACTCGTCCTCTGTTGGCAGTCTGCCTATATCAGTGGTTTTCTGACCTTCTCTCTGTAGTCTGGCAGAGAGAGGTTTTGGGGAGCTACTGTTAAGAGGGGCAAGCAGCTTTGTTTGTTGATGTAAGATGCAGGAGTGGTCCACGGGTAAGTGCAGGAGAAAGGACTGGACCAACGGACGCCTGCTTGGTTCTGCTCATTCCAGCAAGAGCAGCGACTTAAGACTTTTTTCGGATGTTTATTTCCCTTCCAGATAGGAGGGTCAGAGTAGCAAAGATAGGAGTGCCTAGGTTGCAGCTCCTTCCAGGCCACAGCCTCCGTGGTTAGTCCTCGGCTCCTGCAGGCAGGCTGTACAGAGCATGCGCTCCCCACCCCAGTTCCAGCTGCAGAACGGGGTGAATGCCCTCTTTGAGACTCATATTTCCCATTAGTTTGTAAACAAGTCAGGGACTGCTTGGAACCCTGCCTTCTGCTCTTCCCTTTGCTCACAACACTAACAGAATGCCTCTGTTAATTTTCTAAAAGGAATTCTTGTGGGATTTCCTGAACTATCAGGAGGGTCCTCGTATCCGGGACCGTCTAAGCCATGGGGAGATCAACTTACGTGAATTTCCGAGAGAAGCAGCAAGCCAGCTGCTCACGTTCTCCCTGGTGCTTCTGCTCAGGTTCACTGAGGAAGACACGTTGTCAGAGCTGAAGGTACCACAGCGGGGGAGGGTGGCTGGATCTACCACCTCTAGCAATGGAAGAACATGTCTTATTTTTCAAATATGATTATCTATTCATCAATTTTCATTTTAATTTAAATTACAGTCTTACTTCATCTGAATAACTATAAATTAACAACATATATGTATGAAAATCAGAGTCGTGAATCTGAAATAATTTGTCCTCTCTTAAATACATCTTTGCCTTTGCTCTTTGTTAGTGTTAAAAACCAAAGAACAGGTTATAAACACGATTAACCAAATGTAGGAAACCCCTACAAGTATATGTCAAATTGATGGAACAGGGTATTTGCATTTCTGAAACGAATTATTTTGTTAAAGTGATTATAGTTTTTGTTTTCAGGATATATATATATATGACAATTATTTTTTAAATTGCTTAACAGTCCAAGCAAGCTGTGTGGTGGTGGTACATGCCTTTAATCCAAGCACTTGTGGGGCAGAGACAGGTGAAACTCCGTGAGTTCGAGGCCAGCCAGGTCAACAGAGTGAGTTCCAGGACAGGCTCCAAAGCTACACAGGGAAGCCCTGTCTCAACATAAATGAATAATAAAGTCCAAGCCATCAGGAACCCCCTTTGCCAGAAATGGAAACTGTTAAAAGTTGATGTCCTTGCTTCTCTGTCTTTCTGTGCTGTCTTCAGATGGGCTCACAGGAAGAAAGCTTTGTTCTTGAAGCAGTGTTTTCCACTAGTGTAGTTTGGGTCTCTGCTGTGTCTGTTCTCTTTGTTAGCGCCGCCAGTCTGCCATCGACCATTGTTTATCTAAACCATCTCCGTTGATATGTGAGCTGTACCTTTGCCTGATGAAACTCCCTGTAACGGTGGACTGTGTTCGTATGTTAGGAAGTTTGCAAAAGCAAAACCTGTGTCTAATAACAGCAAGGCCTGGTTTTTATCCTCACAGATGCTGCTGTTCCTACATTGTCTTAGCTCACCTTTCTTTTTTTTTGTTTTTTTTGTTTTTGTTATTTTTTTTTTGTTTGTTTTTGTGTTTCGAGACAGGGTTTCTCTGTGGCTTTGGTTCCTGTCCTGGAATTAGCTCTTGTAGACCAGGCTGGTCTCGAACTCACAGAGATCCGCCTGCCTCTGCCTCCCGAGTGCTGGGATTAAAGGCGTGCGCCACCACCACCCGGCTCTCACCTTTCTTTTCCCACCGCCTTATTAACCTTGCTGCTGTTCTTAGAGAGGTACCACCTGTTACGGTTTTTTAGCTCCGGTTCCTTTTCCTTTGGCTTCTGCCTTTGATGTCATTCTTGAAAGCTTCTTTGCATTCCAAAAATTATAAATATAATCATTATTTTCCTAGGTTTTTATTTTTGTTTTTGTTTGTTTTAGTTTGGTTTTATTTTTCTCTAGACAGGGTTTCTCTGTGGCTTTGGAGCCTGTCCTAGAACTAACTCTTGTAGATCAGACTGGCCTTGAACTCACAGAGATCCGCCTGCCTCTGCCTCCCAAGTGCTGGGATTAAAGTTGTACACCACCACCACCCGGCCTTTTCCTAGTGGTTTTTTTAATCTTTTGCTCCAGGTAGAATTTAGTTCCTCTTGGGAGTGAAGTAAAGAACCTAGTTTTCACTGTTTTCTTGTTGAAATTGCTAGCAACTTCTCTGAATGCCATGTGGAGAATTGATATCTTTATTCACTGTGCATCAGGCTCCAGCCCTGGACTCCCTTGCTGGAAGCTCTGCCCTCTGCTGAGTCTTCATGACACAGTTTAGTGTGTCATGTCTTGACACTAAGGGCAATCCGTTTCTGTCTCCTCAGAGCTGTCTCGTCTGTTCACTGTTTATATTCCGTGTGAGCTATGTCCTTAAAGTAGACACAGACACGGAAAACAAACTAAAAAGAACCATTTAGTGGAACCATATGGGGAAACTGAGCACTGCCCAGCTGGTACAGTGCTTGCCTAGCATATGTGGAGACCTGAGTTGGCTCTTTAGCACTGCATAAGCCAGCTGTGGTGGTCCACACCTGTAATCCCAGCCCTGGCTCGGAAGGTGAAGGCAGAGGACCCAAAGGTCCTCCTCAGCTCCATGGAGTTTCAGACCAGCCTGGGATGTATAAGACCCTGTGTCAGAGAAAAACGTTATCAGTAATAAGTATGTCCTGACTTCAGGCCTATGATGAGTGTGGACCCCACCCTCCCATCTAAGTAGTACATCTCCAAAGGTGGCTTCTGAGGCTCACAGACCTCCAGGCCTCCCTCCCCTTCACACTCTGTACTCAGTTTTCTGTCTGAAAATACGTCTTGAATCTATTACTCAATGTTATTCCATTACCACCACTTGCCCGAATCCCCTTCACTTCCTGGAGGGGTGCTTGCCCTGACAGCCTTTCTTCTTTCCTTTCCTCAACACGGCGCCAGATCCTCTCTCAGATATTATGTTCCTCTATGGAGAGGCTGTCTGGGATTTCATATCCTAGAGCAGAAGGAGCGCTCTATTCTGCCTGAAGGCATACTTTGTCCTCCAGTGCTTACTCCAGCCCTTATCCCCAGCCTTCACAAGTCTCTGCCCAGCTGGGACCACAGCCACAAGGATGCTGCCCACGGCATGGCTGTGGCTCTGGCCAGCGGTTATCAGCAAATGAGAAGTTGAGCATGTCCCCAGCACTTTGATCTTGTGGTCATTTCAGGCATTTTGCTCTGTACTGTTGAGAAAATGGCAGTTTGTGCCCTGACTTCTGCCAGCTTTCGGCCCCCTGACTTTATCCTTTTGTAGTGTGCAGTGGCTGGCCTGGGTTTGCAGTTAGACATTTGTAACAGCTGATGGAATATATTATAATATTTTATCCTTGTTTTTTAATATTTATATGTTTAGCAAGTAACTGTTTATGGTCATGTAATTCTCTTCTAATTGTATTGATTTTCAGTCCTTGAAAACTTCCCTTTTGTCTTGGGATCCTTTTCTCCTTGTGTATTTGTTGTCTGCCATGCTCTGGACAGGGTGGATGTGATCTTTGTAAATTATAGTGGCCAGTTAGCTCCATTTCAGTCAGCTGGTGACTTCCAGGTCCATCCTACTTCAGTGAAGAGTTTTACCATGCTTTAGATGAGTAGGGTTATTTCACAATCGTGAAAGATTGGGATCCTTAAGTGACTGTGATTCAGAAGAAGACACCATAATGACATCATTATATACAATGACTAAAAGCAATGTTTCCAAACTAGGAGGAAGCAGGAATACAGTTGCTGGTTAGTCTAGCTGAAGGCTACAGATCCCGCTGCCACCCAGCCTTCCAGCTTCAAAAACAGGTATGCCGCATGCAGTGTTTGGGAGTCGGAACCACGCGTGACACTGTTCTCCCTTCAGAGACGTCAGAAGGGTCCCAGGGCTTTGTCTGCTCAGTCTTCTGAGCTTACAGCTCAAGTTCTATGTCTCAGAGTTAAAGGTGGTTTTAGTTTCAAGGATGACAGGTGGAGTAATTAGCATGCAGCCTCTTGTTACTGCTCACTGCCCAGAGAGAGAAGCAAGTTTTATTAAGTGAGGAATGTCATTTTTTCTTCTACCATATGAGACAACTTTCTGTTAACTTATAATTTTAAAAAACAAACTTTCAAGCATTTCCATCAGGTAGTTTGGGGAATTATTTCAAATGCTTTATACTCTTTTTTTTTTTAAATTTTATGTAGGGGGCTGCAGTATATATGCATAAATCTATAAGCACAGGTGCCCTTGGAGGCCAGAGGTCTCTGATCCACTGGAACTGGGGTTACAGGTGTAAGCCACACAGCAGGTGTTGGGACTTGAACTCAGGTCCTCTGCAGGAGTAGTACTTGCTGTTAACCACTGAGCATCTCCCAGCCCTCAGATGATGGGAGACAGGACAAGAACGGCCATGAATGTCAGTCACACTCAGAATGGCTCTTGCACCCTCACAGGGCTGTGTGCACTGGTATGTGAGCGTAGGGGAGACCTAGAGAGGCAGTGTCGGAGGCCAAGACTGACCAGTGCTGTCTTCTGACAAACACATCTATGGTGAGACTTTCCCTGGGGAGATGTGAGCAAACACTGGTTCTCTCCAGATAGAGCCCCAACCACAGATCAGAGAACCATTCCACCCAGGTCTGCCACAGTCAACCAGCGAGTTTTGGGAGTTCCTAACAGGAACCTCGATGCCTTAGGCAGCTGCACCTAGTGACATCCATCCCAGCAACAGTGACAACTCGCAAGGCTACCCTTTAGGGTTCTCTATACAGCTTGTGGTCAGAGAAGCCACGGGTGTTCTCTTCCCAGCGGTTGTCGTGTGCTTTTATAACCATGGGGGCAGGCTTTTGAATCTTGTAAGTTTCATAGCTTCCCAAGTCTTCAGAAAGTACCTCCAGGTGGGGCGTTTGAGTCAGGAGGAAATACCTAAGCAGCGTGGGTGAGAAGGGGATGCCAGCACACTAGTCTCTGTTCTGTGACCAGACAAGAGCGTGGAGGATGTCCCTCACGATTCTTTCCAAGGTACCATTATAGAGGACAGGAGGGAAAGTTCTGGAAGGAAGGGAAGCTTCCAGATGGTAGACTATTAGGTGACCTGATTGCTGAGTCCCCAGGCTGTGCCCTTTGCTGTCCTCTGCTATGGCCCCAGGTAGCACCCTGGCTATTTTGGACCCTCATCTGCTATCCGTGTCCTGTGCTGTATAAGTTCATTGCTCTGGTTATTGCTGCTACAGAAAATCGCTCACATTCAGTGTTGTCCACACAGCTGCCACTTCATTTGCTCCTATGGTCCTGGGGCAGGACGTGCTGGAGGATCTGTGTGTGTCTTCACCTGGGTGCTAACAAGCGGTGACAGTGTTGACAGGCCTCCCTCCTCTGGACTTGGTCCCACTCACAGATTGCCAGAGCTAGTCACAGTTCATAGGAGGGGCAGGTCCCTCTCAACCGACAGTGTCATATTTATGAACATGCTCATCATCACCCCAACAGCAAAGACCAGCAGTATTTGTAATCAAATGAGCATGTGAAACACTTGAGCTCACCATATGCTTTTCAAATATGCAATCTGCAACAATTTTGCAAATATTTTCTAGGAAGTGATTCAATATCCATGACAGTTGAAAACCCACTTTCTAGGATATTGTAAAACCTTAGACAGAACAGTCAAATATTTCTCCCCAGGTCCTGAGCTGTGAGGAAAGCCTCAGGATGTGGGATGTGCTGCCTTTGCCAGAAGAGCCTCAACAAGAAGCAGCCAGGTGTGTGTCGTCTGGACTGGGTGTACCGTGGCTGGCAGGTGCAGTCAGCACCAAAGCTCTTCTTCCTTCTTACACTTTGGGAAGGAACTGCTGGGCCAGTTTTTGGCCGTTGAGCACAGACTGGAGGTGTCTGTCGGGAAGATAAGGGCTCTTCAGGAAGGGTTTGGCAGACATGAGGAAGGTCTGGACCTGAGGAGGAGGAGGAGGAGGAGGAGCACAGGTTTGGCGACTGCAGACACTAGCACTGGAACTACTCGGGGCAGCCACAGCTCACCTCTCTGCACAGTGCTTGCTCTCAGACCTCATGTCACTCATGCTGTCTTCTCATGACGCCTTTTGTCATCTTGTGTAGATCACATCCACTGTGCAGTAAACATCATTGTAGGTTATCAATAATGGCATCTACCTTTAAATATCGTGTGTTCTTCAGATTAGAAGATAATTCTGAAGCACATGCTTGCAACTCTTTAATTAGCAAGATTCTGTGTGAGCTCTGCCGCCATGTGCCTGGGAGTACCTGTGCTGTAGGTGGCTCGGATGGTCTTCCCCCCGAGAGGTGAGTCCTGAGGAACCATACTGGTAGTTTATGGTAGCAGATGAGACTTACTGTTTCCACTCTGAACTTTAGCAGTTTGGTATTGTGTCCCAGAAGAGGTCGTCAAGTGAGGTTAGGTGATCTCTGTGCAAGTGGCACGTGTCTAGTGAAGTCACCATGTGTAGTGAGGTCATCTGTTCACTGCAGCTGCATTTTACCTACCTGTCACTTGCTGAGGTCCCACTTGTACCAGCAGACCCAGACCAACACAGGTTCAGGAAAAGAGATGGCAGTGGCATCCCCTGGTGTTGTGTCCCCTGATTGTTACGTTATCCCTGCACTTGAGATGGCAGTGGCACCCCCTGGTGTTGTGTGTCCCCTGATTGCTGCACTCTCCCTGCAGGTGAGATGTCAGTGGCGCCCCCTGGTGTTGTGTGTGCCTGATTGCTGCGCTCTCCCTGCAGGTGGCCCCAGCTGCTCCAGGAGCTCTGCAGCACAGGCATTCCTACCCTCTTCTGCCCCAGGCTTGTCCTAGAAGTTGTGGTTGTGCTCCGAGGCATCAGCTCCCAATGCCAGCGTGTGTCTGCCCAGGTCATTGCCTCTTTGCAGCTGAGATACAGGCAGTGGGTGGAGCGCAAGCTGCGCTCGAGGCAGCGTCAGAACTATCTGCGCATGCTTAACAGGTGGGCCCTTCCCCTCCTCAGCACCCTCTACTCAAGCTGCCAGAGAATAATTATGGTGTATATGTTTTATAAAAATTTTAAATTTTACCTGTGGGAGAGGATCCCACCACCCAAGCGACTGTGTGGACTTAAGCCCAAGAGCATGTTCTCTGGATTGGCCAGCACTATAGGTCTTCACATTTCCTTGAGAAATAGCTGTTCTGGACACATATCTAGAACTTTGGGTTAAATGGTGGGGTGTTTCGTAGGCCTAGTAGAACACTTGCTTATTCTGGAAGGCACTGACCTTCCAGAAGTTTCTCAGTGTGCACTCAGGTAGTTTATACAGAAGTGCTACAATGGAGTGCACTGGTTTTAATTATCTCTGCTGGTCTCATGGGCCAAATAAGGCCGGGGTTTCATAGGAATTTCTTGGAATCTGGCGAAGTTAGAACACACTTTCTCCTCTTGGTGTGAGTGGACACAGAGCATGGGACCCAGTGCAGTCCCTGGGGCTGACCTCCAAGTGTTCTTGGAGGCAGCTGAGACTGAGCCAGACTCAGAGAAGTTGCTGGTGCCAGGGAGTGGAAGCATTTTGTGACCTGGATGTGAAGGGCAAGGAGGGGTAGGGCAGGGCACAGCAGGGCAGACCTTCCCAGATATCTGGGTTTAGGGATACTTTTTAAAGGTGTTGGCAAAGAAACTACATGCTTTTTGTTTTGTTGCTGCCTTTTTCCCCTTCTCATTTTGTCTGTTTTTGTTGTGGTTGTTGTTTGTTTCGATTTTTATTTTGTTTTGTGTATGTATTGTGTGTGTGTGTGTGTTGAAAGAGAGGGCACACTTACAAACAAAGTTGGGTGTGTTGGAAGATGGGGAGGATCTGAGAGGAGTTGGAAAAAGGGGAAAATCATGATCAAAATATATAAATTTTTTAATTAAAAAAGCTGTTGATTAGGTGACGTGCTGTTTCCTTATGAAAATGGAGAGAGGACTGTCAGCATCCTAACTCTGCTTCCTCCTTTCTAGTATTAGACTTCTGTCTGCTGGGCTTTACCTGGTTTTGTTGCTCCTTGCACTGGAGTTGGTCAGTGTTCATGCTGTCCTTGGCAAAAGCACTCCAGAGCGTCAGCACTATCTCAGGTAAGGTGACCTGCTCAGAAGTAAGGAGACAGTTCTTGGGCGACTTTGAGAAGTGTTGACTCCTCTTGGCTATTCCTTGGTGATGTTTTTAACCCCACAGTTTCTCCTGCTAGTCTTCTCCATACGATGTGATGCTAAGTTTATGGACATTTGAAACTGCTTACTTAAAGGTACATTTCACACAACTGAATCCAATTTACCTGGGAATCCTCTCAGAACTCACCAGTCCACAGTTTGGTGCCCACGTGCAAGCTGAGTTAAGACTGTAGGGATGGTCTTGGAGGAGGACCCTGAAATGTGACCTAAAGTCAGAGCCCTAAGGCAGACCCCGCACATCCAGGTGACTCACAGTCACTTCAGTTGTGTATAGCTAACGGTGTCGACTTAAGGAGTCTACCTTTCTGCAGCATCCAGGTCTAGGGATCTGAAACTGGAGAAAACCTTTATGTAGCCCACTCCACATGCAGAGGTCCCAGAGCTCACCAGACTCCTTAGTTCAGATGGTATCCTGTGGTCAGTTGTCTGTAACTGTGTGACGTAGCCTCCATCCATGCCCATAAGTTTTTCATACCTTAGCTGGCTTTATGCTGTACTTGGCAAGGGGTAGGAATCCTTATGTATTATGGATTACAGTGATGTGGGGGGTGTTTGGGTGTGTCTATGTGTGTGTGGTGTGGAGGGTATATGTGGGGAGTGGTATGTGGTGTGTGTGTGTGTGTGTGTGTGTGTGTGCTTTAGACAGGGTCTCATTATGTAATCTTGACTGGCCTAGAACTCACTATGTAGTCCAGGCTAGCCTTAAACTCACAAAAGTCAGCCTGCCTCTGCTTTCCGGGCGTTGGTGTTAAGGGCATATGCCAGCCACCATGTCTAGATTTTTAGATACCCCTGAAAAGTATTTTTTCAATTACTTTGGGGGAGGAGGGTTGAGGGGGGAGTTGTGGAAGTCAGAAGAGGACTTTGTGTGGTACGGTCTTTTCTTCCACCTTATGTGAGTTCCTGATTGAACTCAGACCAGCAGACTTGCTTGGTGAGTGTCCTATCTGTTGGACCATCTTCCTGGCCTGCACTGGTGTTTCAGTTGCCAGCATGACCCAACCTGGAGATGCAAGTTTCAGCTGAAGGATGTTTAGATCAGGTTGACCTGTGGGCATGTTTGTAGGAATTATCTTGATTGTTAGTTGATGTAGCCCATTTTAACCCATTGTAGCCCGTTATAACCCATTGTAGCCCGTTATAACCCATTGTAGCCCATTATAACCCATTGTAGCCCATTATAACCCATTGTAGCCCGTTATAACCCGCTGTAGCCCGTTATAACCCATTGTAGCCCATTATAACCCATTGTAGCCCATTATAACCCATTGTAGCCCATTATAACCCATTGTAGCCCGTTATAACCCATTGTAGCCCGTTATAACCCATTGTAGCCCATTATAACCCATTGTAGCCCGTTATAACCCATTGTAGCCTGTTATAACCCATTGTAGCCCATTATAACCCATTGTAGCCCATTATAACCCATTGTAGCCCATTGTAGATGGCACCATTCCCTGGACCCTGGACCGTTGAAAGTGGGGGGGGGGGCTACCTGAGCACTAAACAGGCAGCGGGGGTGCATCTGTTTCTCTCTGATCTTGACTTTGGATGCGGTCTGGCCACATCTCAGGCTCCTGCCACTGTGCCTCCCTGCAATAATAGACCGTAACCTGGACTTCTAAGCTGGATGAGCCCTTCTTCCCCTAAGCTGATTTTTATAAGGTGGTCTTATCACAGCAGCAGAGATGAAACCAGGACGTGCGTAGATGAACAGAGCTGAGGCAAGTGCAGATAGCACGCCCGGAAAGCAGTGTGCAAGGCTGGCGATGACGTTGGGGACTCAGCCTTACACCACTGGCGCGTGATCTGTAGCCTCTCTGTGTGCTGCGTGTTGCTGCGTGTCATCCGTGGCATCTGGCCACATGCTAGTAGCACTTTCCCAGTGGCATCACCAAGAGACCCCTAGGAGAGGAGCCTCTCCCTAGACCAAGGCTCTGTGGGTTTCGTTGAACGATTCATTTGACATATTTATAAAAATTATATAATTATGGGAAAGTTTCCACTGCTCGGGAAACTGAGGGGAGTCTGAAAATGTAAAAATGATGTTTATCCTAGTCAGCTGGGATATCTTTAAGGAAACTGTTTTCAACAGTGGCACAGTAACAATGTTTCTCTTCAGAGAGACATGGCAGCACAGGGGAAGAGAGCCATGATGCCACGTTAGCACCCAGAGAGACTTGTGGGTCCTTCTCTCGCTGCGTGTCTGTCATGTCTCAGTCTGAGCCCGATGGCCCTGGAGTCTTTGGAATTCTGTCCCATCTCTGAGAAACATCATGTCAAGATCTGAGAGCGTGAGAAGAGTCTGGGACTCGTAGCTCATCCCAGCTGATAGCATTGGCCTCCACATTTTTGCTTTCTCTAGTTTCTCTTATTTTCATTTTGCATGCATTTCTTCTTGAATCCACACACAATTATTTCCAAGAGAAGACATGTATGCTGCTATGTTTTATAACAGCACAGACAAAGAAACTAAAATTCCGCATTGTCTTTCCAATAGGTTCTTAAAGTTGATTCTGCAGTACACCGAGAACCTCGCAGCCTATACTAACCAAGAGAAGAACAAATGGAACGAAGCCATCAGTCTTACACATGCAGTTCTGTTGAGAATTTGGACTTTCAGTGAGAAGAAACAAATGTTAATGCATTTAGCCAAAAACTCCACAAATCAAGTTGACACAAGTTGACAAAGAAAACAAAAGTCAGGCTCCTTATGGTCATAAGAGAAAACTCAAGTGAATTCAACAGCAGTTGAGTTGGGTAGCATCCAAAGGTGGGATGGGTTCTGTGGTCACTCTGGTCATGGACCAGGAATGCTGGTATTCTAGGGGATAATGGGACATTCCATGGCGTGAAGAAATAGTTGAATGTCTAGGAGAGACAGAAGACCAAGACATGAGAGAGGGAAAGCAACAGCTTCACTGAAGGAAGGACTATGAGGGGACCCACTGCAGTGGGTATTTTAATAGGGCCCCCCGTCCTCATCTTTCCTTTAGTGGTTCTGTTGAGAGTCTTCCCTCTGCCTGATGTCTCTTTACACAGTGTCTCCTGGAAACAAGAAGATGCCATCCAAGAGAGGCTGCTTTTGCTTTCCCTGTCTACCTCTGTCCCTTTAATTCTCCCCCAGGGCTCAGGCTGTCCTTTCTCTGAAGCTTTCTGGTTTGGTGTCATTGTGACCCCTAAGCTAGTCTTAATGCCTGCAGCAGGTTTGGGTTTTCATGTCCTCATGGTGCACATTGGAGGATGTGGTCACTGCTTTGCCCCTAGTTGCCCAGAAGCACATGGCTTCACATGTCTTGTTAATCACATGCTTATTTTAGAAGCTATCCTGTAGCTAGAGTCTAGTCATACAGACAGTGGGGGTGGGCTAGTTACAGTTACCCCTGGGAGCAGGATCGTGTTCATCTGTGCTCATTTCATGGGCAAGTAATAAGCACTAGGAACCTGTGAAGGTGGAGGTCACAGAGGTTGGTGATGGACCCCAGGTCCCCAGTGAACGTTTAGCAACGAATACATTTCTAGATGTGAAGGCTGAGTGTAGGAGGCTCTGAAAAGTTGGAGGAGAAGAAGTCATTTTCATTGAATCCCAAGAGTTCCTTGAAATGCCACTTGGTTGTTTGAGGATCTGGGAAGATAGTCTTCCACCTCAGTTGTAGTGGCCGCGTTGCCTGCATGTGTGATAATGCACTTAGCCATCCAACCTCAGTGGGTCATCGCTTCTTGGATCCACCTTTCAGACCTTGACTGGATACGTCCTGCAGCCACCAGAGAAAAATTTCCTGTGACACTGAACTGAGCCATGGAGAAGACTTTGGGGTGCTTTGTACCAGCTGCACGTTCCGCTTGTTCCTTTGTACTTCTAACCCCACCCCTAACGTACACACCAGTCAGCTTCTGGATGAAAGAGTAAAAGTACCAAGACACTGTTTATCAGTTGGATTTAACACCTTATTTAAAGGAACAGTACCCTACATGGTGCCGTATCTTCAGTGAGTCCTGTGAAAGACACATGATCCACACACGTGAAGATGTATTTGACATCTCTTCAAGGGCATCTTGTTCTTATGCATAATGACTTGTCCTTGTGTGTCAATCAGGGATACATGATCGTGAGTCCTTTATTACATCACTTCAAGGAAATGTAGTTCATATACATGACGACGTGCCCTGCGTCACATCAGAGGTCCATAATTCATGCACAAGCCATTCTCAGCCCATCACGCCAAGGGTCCATCTACCCTTTCGTGTGTTGTCATTTGGTGTAGCACAGCAGGAGGTGTTCTGTTTGTTCTGTTACTGTAGCGTCAAGGTCAGACTTCTTTACTATGTGGCGTCTCTACCTTTTGAAGTTAACTAAAAAACAGTTTGATACTTGAACCTTATAAATATCTTTTTACCATGGACCCTCTCCAAATGCTGATAGTTCTTGCCTCTCAACCCACTTTGTTAATTAAATGTTTGTTCTATTTTTTTTTTTTTTTTTTTTTTGGTTTTTCGAGACAGGGTTTCTCTGTGGCTTTGGAGCCTGTCCTGGAACTAGCTCTGTAGACCAGGCTGGTCTCGAACTCACAGAGATCCGCCTACCTCTGCCTCCCGAGTGCTGGGATTAAAGGCGTGCGCCACCATCGCCCGGCTTATTTTTTTTTTTTTAATTTTTACTGTGAGCTCCATGTTGGCATTCATTTTCCTCAAGAAAGATATCTCTTAGGTGTGGTGATACATGCTTGTAATTCCAGTACTTGGAAGCCAGAGTCATGAGGATCAAAAGATTGCCACCAGCCTGGTCTACGTAAGGAGACCGTGTGTGTGTGTGTGTGTGTGTGTGTGTGTGTGTGTGTGTGTGTGTACACTTTCTGTCAGAATTGTCAACTGTTTCTACGCAAGAGTGAGGCCAGGTGATAGAAGTTTGGAGACTCACTTTCCCCTACATGTTATCAGAAGAGGAAGGAAACAAATTCAAGTATCAGCAAATGTTGGTTGAAGGTGCTGCTGGCTGGCTGGAGCCAGTTGCCAAACTTGCCAGTAAGGCCCAGCCTGCCCTGCCCATGCAGAGCTGCTCAGGGCTGCTCAGCTCTCAGCAAACAGTAGGAGGTGCACATACAGATTTAGGTTCTAACAGATAATCATGGGTGGGATGGAAATGAATGAGTGTTTTTCAGCCTGTAGTCCTGGGCACTGCCCCTCCTAACTCCCAGCAGGATGGGCCTGTCTGGGTGGACACCACTCCAGACCCTCTTTAGGCTGGCTAGAAGCAGTACTGGAAGAAATGAGCTGTTAAGTCCTAGGTTGGTGTTCTGAGAACAGAAGGAACCAGGGCTGGGGGCCATGCTGTGGAGACTGGTGGGAAGCATCAGGAAGAGAGCCCATGGAGGTACACGGAGTCAAGAGCAGACGGTGCCTGGTTAGATGTGGGGTCAAGTGATCCTCAACTGTCCAGTGTGCGGATCTCTGCCTCTAGAAGATACCAGTCATTTTGGGAGCGACCCTAGAAGTGGCAGAAGCACAGAGGTCAGAAGCTAGGTTGGCAGTGCAGACCCAGCCTGGGGAAGGGGATATGAGAATCCTTCCTCCATATCTTACCAGGCGTGTGGGCAACCTTGTGGTTAACTTGTGGCAAGGTGTTTTCATCTGTTCATGCTGATGGTGACATTGCCATTGAACACATCATTTGACCGACACCAGGGAAGGGGAAGCAATGCTGGAAATGTTTTGCTTTGTCCTGACATCAACAGACACTGTCTTTCCTTGTTCCTCAAGGGTGATGGGAAGTGATTTGGATTCTGTCATCTTAGGCTGTGTATGTGTGCGTGGTGTGGAATGTGTGTGTCTGTACAGTACGAGTCCGAAATTCCAGATATCCACAGCCTTATGTAAATGAAGTGGTGGGCAAATAGTAACCCATTTCAAGTCCTCACCTGAAGTCCCAGCTGAGAGTAATTTGGCTCCACAAGAAATGCCCCTTACCTGTAGATCTGAACCCTGGCATGGGTGTGCATCCAAACAGGATTGTCAGCGTAAGCAAACAGTCTCACTGCAGGCTGTTTCTAACTAGGGTACCGGTGGGGTCTCTTTCTAGCCTTGCTTCTTGAAAGATCTGGGGAAGAACCCATCTTAAGAAGAAAAAGCACCCTTAGAGCACAGTGATGCTGGATTCCATTACAGCACCTCTCGGTCTAGTTCCGGATTGTGTTGTCCCTGATCAGACACAGGGTGGCACTCTTCGTTAAGCTGTGAGCGAAGACGTCTTCCGTGATCGCCTGCGACTCCAGGGAAATGAATTCTTTCCTTTTCCTCTGGCTGCAGTGAGGTAGCTCCCAGGTGACAGGAGAGAGTTTGAGCGCTGTCCTCTGGCCACTGGGACTGTGGATCCTCACGCTTACCTTCCAATCATCAATGCTGTATTGACGAAAGATAGGAAACAATCACAGTTCACAACCTTTCCCATCTCCTATTGTGTGAATTAATCCCTTGGGGGAAAGACAGGAGAATGAGGGAGGTACCAAGGTCACCATTAACCAACCACCAATCACCGTCCTGCGGATGGGGGAGGGGAACCCTTTGTCTGCGGGAACTGGATTGAGCCTGGCAGAGAAGGAGTGGAAACTGGCTTCTAACCACTCGCCCTCCCCAGCTGCAGCCCGAATTCACACCTTGACATCACAGTCTATCTGCTGCCAAGGCTTGGGGCCCGTTGGGGATTGGCTGCTGGGGGCTGACAAAGAAAATTCTTCACATTGGGTAGAAGGGAGTGTCTGTGGTTTGCATTATAGCCCTACTAAGTAATGTTAATGAAACCAAATCACCTCGCTACCTCCTGAGTCTGGGCTTTAGAGGGCCAGAAACCAGCCTTCTGGGGGCTGTGTTGTCTGGATTGTAGTGTGTCCATATGAATTAACTAAGCATGTTTAAGATAAGTCTTTGATTACATCTTAAGTTCTCCAAATGAGACCCTGGATAGAGACAGGAAGTCCCCTTGCCACATCAATTAATTAATTGGAAATGAAATATACTAAGTTCAAAAAAGCCGGTCATAAAACTAAGTCCTGCGCCAGCAGTTAGAGTTATGGAGCCTATGAGCACAGACTTGTCATTATAAATATCAAGTTCCACCTTCACAGAAAGCTTATGTATTTTCAAAGCCCTTTGAGATTCTTAATTGCTCAGGACTTCGAATACCCCCAAGACAATGTAATTAACTCCATTTAAGAAAATGAAAACTAAGTCCAGAAAACCTGGAACTCATTGTCCTGTGAAGAAGACATGGGGTATGCTAATGTCCTCAGCTGACAGGCCTTGTCTTTGTGGAGATCTGCTGGGCCCTGCAGCGCCCTTCCTCCTCCTCTCAGTGCTCACTCTCCTCCTGGTTCACTGGCAGCCCCTCTGAATTCCAGAAATGATCTTTCTGAACTCTCACAATCAACCTTCCAGCAACTTGGTGGGATCAACAAGACAGTGGTGTGGTCCACAGGCTCAGGGTGCAGGGCTGCTGTACTAAAGCTATGGGGCCCAAGAGGCCCCAGTCAGAGCAGAGGCCGGGTCTGCAGGTGATGTAGGGACAGTGGGCACAGAAGTCTCTTGTGTGTCTGTGTCCATTTTAGTTAGGAAACCCGTGAAAGCAGCTTAGAACCTTGCCCATGTCTGAGCACTGTAAACTTCACATAGTACTTCTGAGCCATCACTGAGCCTCTTCTTCCCCAAGCTGTTGACCAGCACCTCCCACTTACTATTTTACACAGGTGCATGCTAGCCCTTCCTCAGGAATCTGTGTTAGTTGTCTTCCTGAGGTTGGAATTCAGGTTATCCATCTGGACCTGGGCAGTCTGCACTTCTGCACGTCTTGTTTGTTTGTTGTTGTTTCTTTCCATTACCTGTAAATGGTAGAAAAGCTAATGGTGACTCTTCAGTTGGACCCATCCTGTGCAGTCAATCAATGGAAACGTCGCTTTGTGCTTTGTATTTACGTATTGATCTTAGCTGCTGTGAGCTGTTAGTCAGTGTGGGAACAGGAGGTGTGAAGCCACACCTCAGGGGTCCTCCATGAGGTGTGATACTCACCGGCTGACAAACGGTGGGAATATTGCCCTCCTTAAGTGCTGGTCATATCCAGATGGTGCTCAATATCCGGTGCTGTGCCCCACATCCCCCTCACCCCTCCCACCCAGCTCTTCTGTCCCTCCCTGGTGCTGTGCCCTACATCCCCCCACATCCCCCCACACCCCTCCACCCAGCTCTTCTGTCCCTCCCCGGTGCTGCGCCCTACATCCCCCCACAACCCCCCACACCCCTCCACCCAGCTCTTTTGCTCCTCCCCGGTGCTGCGCCCTACATCCCCCCACATCCCCCCACACCCCTCCACCCAGCTCTTCTATCCCTCCCCGGTGCTGTGCCCTACATCCCCCCACAACCCTCCACACCCCTCCACCCAGCTCTTCTGCCCCCCAGCTCCCTTTAAGCCCTTTGCCTGAGGCCCCCAGTGCCTGAAACCCCCAGTGCTTTCCATGTGAACTGTCTCTAAGGCTCAGGCCTGAAATTTGAAGACCATCCAGGAATCAGTTCTTATAGTCTGGGACATTTCACATGTCACTCTGAAATGGCTGGTCACCCCAGGCCTGTGCCATCAGACCGAACTTCATGGTTTTTTGTTTGTTTTGGCAGAGGACACCCCCCCCCCCAAGTTTGAAGCAGCTGCCAGGAAGAGCAGGGCTCATGGTACCCTCAGGCCCAGGGCCATCCTCCCATGCCAGGACTGTGCAGGCTAGACTTGCTGAGTCTGCAGCTACAGTGTCTGTGCTTTTATCTCTGCCTCCACTGCTTCCGCTACTCCGTTTTGGAACCCACGGGATAATATGCCCTGGTCCCTTAAGGATGTAGAGGAAGGAACCATTTCCATATCCATTTGACTCAAGTTACCACAGTCAGCTGCTGGCTGAGCAAACTGACCTAAGATGAGTCACAATGTAGCTCACGAAGGTCACAGTTCAGTCAGACTCTGATGTCTGTGCTCAGGATGCTAGTGGATGCAAAGGGGGCAGGAGGGGGATGCTGCATTCAGGAGACCACAGTGAGACCAACCTGGAGGCCCCAGCAGGGGTGGGTGGCCAAAGGCAAGGCAAGAGTTGGTAGGGAGTTGGCGAGACTGAGCAGGGGCAGGAGCTGCTGAATGGGACCCTGGGAGCTGCTGGGCTTCCAAATCCAGAGTGTTTTCCAGACCAAAGGAGGGGGAACTGACCCCAGAGTGAAGCTGTAGGGCAATCGGCCCTAGGTCACAGGGACCACAGGAGGGACACGGGCAGCAGCAGTGTCACCGTGACTGGGTTACCTGTGAGTCAGTCACCTCTGTGATCTGTTCATTCCACTCTGACATATCTGAGTTGATCCTCACAGTCACTGGAGAACAGGTGATGGAATCCGACTGTGGTCTACAGGGGAAGGACATGGATCGCCCTGAGGGACATTATCAGATCACCAGGTCAGCA